CCTGTGAGCAGCAAGTGATGGCTCTGGAGAGCGGGGTGCCACGGGAGCAGGGAAGGCGCACCCGAATATGCAAGGGCTCGGAGCCCAGACTGAACAACCAGAAGGCTAGCTGGGCAGAAGCTTCGTCTCTCTGCTTCCTGGCTGGACATGCGCACTCATGCTGGGTCTTATTTAAACCATGTTCCATCTGGATTCTGTGACTTGCTTGGAGTTCGCCGTGGACTCTTGTCTTATCTCTTTTTTTTTTTTTAATAATTTATTTTATTTTATGTGCATTGGTGTGAGGGTGTCAAGTCCCTTAGAACTGGAGTTACAGACAGTTGTGAGCCGCCGGGAATTGAACCCGGGTCCTTTATGGAAGAGCAGACCACTCTTAACCACTGCGCCATCTCTCCAGCCCCCACACCTGTCTGTACTGCTCACTCCCCCCACACCTCCAAGGCGAAGCTGCGGCTTTCTTGGTTACGCCGTAGTTAGCTCCTTTCTGGGGGGCAGTTAGGACAGCCTCCTTCCTGGGGTAGGTGAGGCCTTTCAGAAGCCATCCTAACCCACATTACTCTGAATTTGATTGAATAAAAAGGCAGTGGTGCCTTCGCAGTCCCTTAGGAGGGACTTTGTGGGAGCCAACTGGAGCTTGCCAGGAGTGAGCTTGTTTCCCAGAGCCCTGTCCTTCCTCCTGCCAGGGCTGCCTGGCAAGTTCATGCCCAGCGGTGAGACCTTTATTTACCTTCCTTCGTGCCCCTGCCACCGTTTGAACCCTGGCCCTCGTTCCTTTGTATTAAGCATGTATTGCTACCACAACAACATCTAGATTTCAGGGTTCCGTGGAAGATGGTGAAGGTGGCTGTTACAGAGGTTTCCGCTGGGTTGAGGTTTGTGGTTTCGGGAGCAGAGACCGCACTCTTAGGAGCTGTCACGGTGCCCAGGCAACAGACTCTGGACTGAGAGGTGATTCGGAAAGGGCAGAAGAGCAGCGCAAGTGTGTGGGAAAGAAGGACGGGGAGAAGAGGGCAGAGGAGGGGAGAAGAGGAATGAGCCGCAGAGCCTGCAGGCTGGCCCTGTCCTGGTGCTTGTGTGCCGAAGGACCTCTGGGAAGCTGTAGCAAGAAGAAGCTTGTTCCCAGCAGAAGAAAACAAACACAGACAGACGCTGCTCGGAGTGCCAGCAAAGGATGGGCTGTGAGGCGCTGAGCCTCAGGGGAGGGTATTGATTCCAGCCACAGATTTCTGTGTTCCAGCAGTGAGACTCACAGCAGAGGACAGGCCCGTTAAACTCCCAGGGGACCCTGTGCCTCGAAGAGCGGGTCCACAATCACTGTGTAATCACGGGACCATGAGGCAAGTGCTGTCGGGGTCACACGAGCACACTTCTATGAGGCTTCACTACGATTAGTCTGTGCTAACTGTGGGATTCTCCCCGAAGCCAAGCCTATGTGGAAACTTGCAGGATCCGTGAAGGATGGAAGGCAACGCAGTGCACAGCCCTGTCGGCGGTCTTGGGGGCTAAGACGGCGGTAGAGTTGTTGACTGCAGCTGAAGAAGAGTAAAGGGGTGAAGAGCTGGGTACCAGTCACACAAGAGACCAAGAGAAAAGGTTTCAGGGAGTCTGAGCAGAATCCAGAGCAGGGTCGAGCCAAGAACCAAAGTGGCTGGCGTCTTCCACGCAGCGCTGGCTCAGCCAGCCACAGCTGCTCAGGTCCTGGCCGGTCAAAGTGCCCACACTGTAGTGCCTGTTTCTGTAAACATCAGCCACAGAAACACGCACCTGGAGGTGGAGGCACCGGCCTCCAGAGGCACCCCACATGGCCCGTAGGACTTGTCCTCCGCCTCCTCAGATGTGAAGAGGGGAAAGCTTCTGTTCCATTCAACTGCCAACAAGTCATCTCTGATTTTCACCTTCACCCTCCTGAGAAGGAGTTCCTGCCGTCACCACACGTGAGGGAAGCCAGCCTAGGAGAGATGGCCCTGCCACTCACTCACGGTCACGCAGGCCGCTCTGTGCTGGGGCCGATGGTGGCGCTACCCTACCCCACTGCAGCCCACCCCTGGCCCCAGCAGCCCTAACCCAGACCTGAACAGGCTGAGAGACAGATGCAGGCAGGCCCACAGCCATCACATCCGGCCAGTTTTTCAGTTACAAAAGGCGTCCGTCTATCTGGCGTTTGTCTATCACACCGGCTGCTGTGACCTTGCACAGCAGCCTGACAAGCACTGGTTGGCTCCCAGGAGTCCAAGCAGAGTTTTCGTTAGGACTAACCACTTGCCAACTTTCTTGGGAGTCTTCCCAGGAGCAAGCACGCTGCCAGGACAGCGTGGCCGTTTCTGTGCAGCACCAACAGCTATAACCTTGGGATCCAACCTCCAGCTTATTAAAACAACAAATTACCCACCGTGAGAACTGCAGAGTGCATTCAGATGGAAAATGGCGTCTTTTTATGATGTGATTTAATTAGGAGCCATCTCCCCATCCGTTTGGTGGTCAGAGTGAGGCAGAAACAGCGCTGAGGTGATCAGTTGGCCTCTGCCTCTGGCTCTCCCTTTCTGAGCGGCTTCTTGGCGAGGGAGGAGAGTGAAACTACTTTGGGAAATCAGTTCAGGATGGGAGAGAAGACAGACGAGGCCTGAGGGCCACCTGCACTTTCAAAGGTCTTTGGCTCTGTCTGCCACCCAGCTGTGGTGCGGTCCCCGGCACAGGGAGGGACATGCCCTGGACATCGGTGGCCTGCCTTCTGCTCCTGACCCCAGCTACCACTTTCGGCATGATGGTGATGGAGAAAGCAAAATGAATTCCAAGGGTCTTCTGGATGGAAGTGTGCGCTTCTGAAGGACGGTGGGAGACTGAACCCAGATGGGCCAAGTTTCCTGGGCTGAGGCATTTCTAAAATTGAGCTGGAAATGTTAGTTTCTGAAGTCTGATTTCCATTTGGACCATTTGGTTCTGACATTTCTGTTGTATCCATCACACTTTCAACGTTCAAACATATACTGTTTAACATGGAGATAAATCTGTCATTCTATGTCACAGTAATGGGCCTTCATCCTCAACCTCCTAGACTAGGAATAATGTGCCCTGGATGGCGCTCCTCTGTGTCTCTGTCTCTGTCTGTCTGTCTTGTCCATGTGTCCGTGTGTCTGTGTGTCTGTGTGTGTGTGTGTGTGTGTGTGTGTGTGTGTCTTTGTTCCTCAGGTGTTACCATCTTATTTTCTTTCCTTTTGAGACAGGAATCCTCCTGTCTCAGCACTGAGATTACAGCCACGCCCAGCTTTAAAGCAACAACTAAACAACTAACAGGGGCTTGGGGACCAGCTCAGGTCCTCTCGTGTGTGTGTCAGGCACTTTGCTGAATTTCCCCGGCCCAGAATATTTTCATTTTTGCAATTTTCCTAGAATGATGGGTTCAGCTGAGTCTGAATCTGTTACGAAGTGTACCTTAGTGCTGGATCAAAGTTCCGGGCATTTCATTTGGGAAGAATTCATGGAGAAGGTGATATAATTTAAATTTTTGACAGATTTGGGGCTTGCTTTATGCATATTTAAAATTTTTCCCGAAGAAAACCAGAGTCACAGGTTCTTTCTATTCAGCGATGAAAGTTCCGGGAGAAATGGGGTCCTTCCAAGGGAAGCATGTCAGACTCACCCTTTCATTTAGGATGTGTGAGGGCGCATGTGCCCAGTTCCCAGCCCCAAAGCTAGTGCCAGCAGACTTCACAGTGGGCTCAGGGTCTATGCGGTGGGTCACAGACAGCACAGTCTATAAGTGTGACCCTCTGGCCAGGGTAGACGGCAGTTCTGTGTTCACAGTCGGATATCTGACATCAGGAGATGCAGCATCGACTTGGGTCCTGCATTCACCCCAGGACAAACCCTTCATTGTTTCCTCATTTAAACACACTTTTCATTTATGTGCAATGAAAGCCTAGGAATCACAGCTTCTGGGACTCTATAATATAGAAAACAGTTTGGGGCTATAGCTCAATGGAAGAGTGCTTGCCTGTCATACACACACACACACACACGCAGACACACATGCACACACACGCAGACACACATGCAC